AGTGCTGCTTGGTTCTTCTGTCAGTGATCTAGTCCAGGTTTTCCTGTATTTTCTGTAACAAAATGACTCCATATTGTTAATCTGTCAGTTAATGTCAAATTAACCAGTAAATTCCATGCCACCCCAATCAATGCCCAACATACCTTTTTATGTGTGTAGAAAATTACCAGCTGACTCTTAAGATTCACTGTAAACATAAAAAGGACCCAGAATAGTCAAAACAACTTTGAAAAGGAAGAATAAATTTGGAGGACTAACACCACCTGATTTCAAGACTTATTATAAGGCTATAGTAATTAAGACAGCGTGGTACTGGCATAAAGACAGACACACAGATCAATGGAACAGAATTCAGAGCCCAGAAATAGTCCTGCACATGTACGGGGAGATGATTTTTATAAAGGTGCAGAGGCAAGTCAATGGGAGAACAGAATTACAAAACTTGTAGAAGAAAATGTACAAGAAAGTCTGTGTGATCTTGGGTTAGTCAAAGATTCTTAGATGTGACTCTAAAAGCACAACCCATAAAAGGACAAATTGATAATCTGGACTTCATCAAAGTTAAAACTTCTGCTCTTTGAAACATATCATTGAAAGAAGGAAAAGAAGAGCCATAGGCTGGAAGAAATCATTCATAAAGCATCTATCTGATGAAGGACTTCTACCTAGACTATAGATAAAGAACTCTCAAAACTCAATAAGAAAAAGATTTAAAAATGGGCAAAAGATTTGAACACGCAGCAAAGAAGGAACAGATGGCAAATAAGCCTCTGAACAGATACATCAGTGGTCATTAGGGAAATGCAAATTAAAGCCAGGAGACTCATTTCACAGCCACAGGGATGGTCATACTTAATAGACATGCACACCCAAAGTTGCTGGGGATGTGGGGTAGCTGGAAATGCCACACACTACGGCGAGAACGTGAAATAGTACAGCCAATTTAGAAAACAGTTTAGAAGTTTCCTAAACAGTTGAACATACACCTGTCCTGGAATCCAGCCATTTCATTTCAGGTACTCACCTAAGAGTAGAAAAGCTAGTCCATACAGAGCCTTGTGGCCCCAGTTGCTCCTGGGGGCTGCAGCTCCTGTGTCTCTCCTGCTGGTCTCTCCAACCGCAGGCCTACGAGCTCACGTCTCCGCGTGGGGCCAGCACACCGCAACCCAAATCCCCCCAGCTCCCAGCGCTCCGATCTCTGCCACAAGCTCAAGGCCAAGATGGCAGGTCCTCTTCAGAGCTCAGTCCAAGAGCTTTTGTGTTGCCAGGACCTCTTTCTTTTGCAGCCAACTCTGCTCTGTCAGGAATCTTGTTAGTTCCTCCTTCTAATGCCTCCAGAGCCGATGCCCCTGGCCTCCCATGCTCAGCAGCCACCTGTCCCCACCTGCCTCCCACCTCCGCTTGCTGCACACCAGCTCTGCCGCCTTTTACCTGCTCTCCTCCACAGACAGGTGCATAGCTGATGCACCTGTCCACCATGGCCTGCAGCTTTCTGCAGGCCCCACCTTGCCCACCCTTTTAATACATATCTTTCTCAACTCTTGGTGGGGCTACACCCTGACAACCCATCATAAGTCAAAAATATAATTAAGTCAACAATGCATTTACTGCACTTGCCTCCCTCACATCAGTTAGCCCAGCCCACCTTATATGTGCTCAGAACACTCCTGTCAGCCTACAGTTGGGCAAAGTCATTTGACACAAAGCCTATTTCATGATAAAGAGTTGACTGTCTCATGTGATTGCTTGAATCCTATCCTGAGTGAAAAACAGAACTGCTCTCAGTGATTCAGGGGTCTGCTCATGTGATTGCGTGATGACGGGGAGCCCAGCTTGCTGCCTGGCCCAGGCTCACGAGAGATGATCGGATCCCATATCATGTGATCTGGTACGTGGGGTGGAGATCCAAGTTTAAATTCCCAAGTCCAGGTTCTAGTGAGTGCATGCGGCTTTTGCAAAATAGTACCATCAGACTGTTTTAAGTTGGGGCCTGTCTGCACTGACTCTGGTGCCCTCCCAACTGGTGGGTTTATTTCCACAGCATCTGCTGCTTTCTAAGGCACTTCTCACCGGTGTACTGGCCACCTGCTGCCCCCATGCCGACAGAGGTGCCCAGAGCATGGCCTGCATTCACCATGTCCTAAGCAGAGGCTGGCACGCAGCCAGCGTGTCGGTGAGTGTGTGAGTGAACCGCGTAAACCCTAAGCCATCATGGGGACGTGGCCAGGCACTGCTATGCTGTGTACCTCAACCAGGGAAACCCGGGGAGGCCAGGGGGAGTGTCTGGGTGGCCTGGGCATGTGGGGCGAGTACCAAAGTCTGAGATGCAGCAGCTTCCTCACAGGGAGGACAGGTACGTGGGCAGGAGCTGGAGAGAGTGTGTGCAGGCCACTCTGGGCCCTTGGGTCCTGGGCGGCTTGTGGGAGAGGCTGAGAGTCATTGTCTGCCCTTGAGTCCCTGCTCTGTCCCGGGGCCAGGTCCTGTCTGTCCTGAGGGAGTGCAGGGCCTGCTCCCAGGGCCTGTGTCCCCGCCAGGGCTTCAGGAGGGGCTCAGTGGCCCATGAGACGTGAGCACAGCTGGGTGGGCTTGCTTGTTGCACAGTGAGCTGAGGACAGTCTGCAAGCGGACACACTGTGCACTCACTGCCACTGGGAAGTGCCCGGGGTCTCTGTGTGGCCAGCCTCCCAAGTGCACAGCCGCAGTGGGGAGAGACACAGGCACAGGGCAGGAACAGAGCTCTCTTCACTGTCGTTTAGGAAGTTTTGCCAAAGTAAAACCAGAAGGACTTGTGTGAACTAAACATTTAAATGGGGAGAAGGGCCAAGATCCTCATTAGTGTTAGAAAGAGCCAGCTTTTTCAGACAGCAGCCGGCCACAGGGTCAGGTGCAGGCAGGGGCGCGGAGAGGAGCCAGAGCCAGGCGGGGCAGCGCACGACATTTATTGAACTTGGACGTGTGCAGAGGCACTTCCCAGGCAGCCACCCAAAGCCGCCCAGGGGCCCTCGCGGGCTTCCCTGACATGACAGCCAGTTAGGGCCCCATACCCCCCCGCTGTGCCTGGGGTCAGGACCCCCATCCTCCAGTCTCCTTCCCTTGGAATAAAGGGCAAGGCATGCCCGACCCTGAAAGATGTGTGCAGACAGGAGGACCCAGACAACCTCAGGCTGGGCAGGGAAACAAAGTCAGCAGGTGTGGCCAGGCGCCAGTGGAGCTGCTCAAGGCAACCACAGCCCTGGACGGTGTGGGAGAGGATGGCTTGTAGGACATGAGGTCGAAAGGTCGAACCAACTCTTGAACAGGTGCACCACACAAAGGAAGGCTATTTCTAAACTGCCATGGATGGGAAGGCCCCACAGCATTTAAAATCATCAGCAGTGCATGCCAACGTGAGCCTGGGGCTGACGGCTTTGCTCTGTTGGCATCTCTATGGCATAGATAAGTTTTGCTAGTAAATTAAACCTCTATTTATATTTGAGACAAGGGGTGGGTGGTCTGTACAGAGTGCGCGAGCCAGGCAGAGGTCAGGGTCCTCAGAGTGGAGAGCTCTGGGCAGGATTCAGAGGGCGCCCATCCCAGTGACCTCGGATGTCAGTCTAGAAGAGAAAGAGCCAGAGGGGACACAGGTCATGCTGTCCTCAGACAAGGGGATCAGGATTGGGGAATGTTGCTCTGTGGCCTTCTGATAGGGTCTGTAAATAACTCCTTGTCCTGAAAGACTGTCCCTGGTCACTGCTTGGTGGCCATGAACTGGAGACCAAAGCCAGGAAGAGGGAGGGGGACCCACCAGGGATCAGATATCCATGGGGTCTCCTTCCTGCCCACAGGGGCCCACATGCCTGTTACCATCGGGAGCATGACACTACCACCTGGAGAAGCAAGCCACCAAGCTGTTTCTATGGCAATAGCTGGGGGGCACTGGAGTCACACTGCCCCTGGGCTGGCCTCCCCAGGGGTCACACTGTGCTCTCCAACATGACCCTGGGTAGGGAGGCTGAGAAGAGTGGCCTAGGTGTGGCTGGGAGGGTCCGGCCTGGCTCTCAAATCCTTACCATGGGCTGGGGGCCCAGCTGCAGGACCTTATCACCCCCAGCCACATAGCCACATAACATCTGATGCTTGGCATAGTTCCTGACAAGCTTCTCAGCAAACATGTGGGTTGGAGGGTCTTCACAGCCACAGGACATGTGACAGCTGTGTTTGCTGGAGCTACATAACCCTTCATACTGACTTTCCAGTAACCAAGTGAGTATTGCCCCTGAGCCCTGGGCAGTGTAGCCACCTTCCTGGAAATGCTCTCACCCCCAAGCACTGAACCCCTCCCTGGAGGTTCATCAGGGTGAAAGCTTAAGTGTGACAGTGCAGAGGGTATGGGGCCTCCATTGTATCCCACCCCCACACCCGGCCAGAGCAGCCTGCGGGGAGGCAGGGCTCCGGCCACAGCCCCCAGGCCCTGTAGGGACATAGGACAGGCCTCCTGGTGGCTCACCTGGCATTGATGAGGTACTGGGCAAGGCTGATGTTCGCTGGGGTCCCTGTGATGGTGACCTGTCGTTCTGCCGACCCTTCTGTGGCATTGGCAATTTTGATCTGAGCTCCAGACATCTGTCGAATTTCATTGATTTTGGTCCCTTGGCGTCCAATTATGCAGCCTATTAGCTAGAAAAAGAGGATGGAGGGATTCCTTGGAGATGAGTCCTCAGCAGCCCGAGCCCAGCCTTGGTCTCTGTCCCAGGCCACCAACTCAGTGCTTCCAGCAGGAAGCTGTACTGCCCACGTGGGAGGGACAGAGGAGGGGAGCGGGGGTAGCTGAGCTCTGCGTGCAGCTCCCCTACTGCAGGGGCTCCTGGCAGACCAGGAGGGGCAGAGGCAGGTGGCCACCTCACCCGCTTCATGCCCTCTGGGGGCCCAATGCCAGCACCAGGGCCAGGGCTGTGTTGACACCTCCTAGGCTATATCCTCAGGGTGGAGGGATGCTTGTTTAAAACCGGAGTAAAGCTTGCTGCTGCCTAAAACCTGTCTTTTGATGAACTTAGTTGAAATTCTGAGGACCCACCACATTCCCAAAATTTCCTACCACTGTGCCCTCTGAATAAAGATGGGGTGCAGCCACCTCTGGCCACTCGGCCCACTGAAGCGGGAGGCGGGCACCGAGAACAATGCAGCAGAGGGACCAAGCGGGGTCTGGGGGGACACAGAAACGGCATGTGTGCCAGTCTGCAGCCGGGAGGCCAGGCCACCGCCCTGCGGCAGGGAAGTTGCCTTGGGGAAGCCCCGCCCAGCCGGTCCTGCTGTGGGCAGGGGGATACTCCAGACACGCCTCCTGGAGGTGGCGGCCACAAGTGCGGGCTTTGATGGTCAGAGGAGGGGCCCTGCATTCTGTGAGCCCCGAAGGCAAGCACAGGGACAGGACAGGACAGGCGGGTGGGCCATGCCGTGGGCTTCTGACTCCGCCTCCCATTGGCCTGGCCGGGCTCGGCACTGGTGACACCGTGCTCCTGTGTCAGCGAGGTGTTGCTGCAGGGCTGTGGGAGGGCGGGCAGGAGGGAAACCCACACGCAAACGGAAACCCAATGACCCTACGCCATGACAGTAGCTCAGGGGGACGCAGCGTCTGAGCTAGTTCTTGTCCCTGAGGTGGCCCGCAGGGTCCGGTTCTAATCCCTCTCCCGGGTTAGAACAGCTGCCTCACGGGACCTTACCAGTCTCTCCCAACCTGCAGACAGACCTCCATCTCTGGGCCGCTCCGCGTCCACCACCTCCCGCCCCTCACCCCGTGTGGGGTCGGCGCCCTGGACCGGCCCTCGCCCGCTGCTGGGGGCCGCAAAGGCTGCTTCCTGCCGGGGCCAGGCAGCAGCACTAGCCCCCGAGTGCCCGGCCACCCGCTCCATGTGCGGTCTGCGCAAGCGCCCGTTCTCCCCACCTCCTGGCTGGGGCGCCCCCGTCAGCCCCAGCTCTCATCCTCGGGCTGTCTCCCCTCCTGGGGCGGCACGCCTGTGGCCCTGAGCCCCCCACCCCGCACGGGTCTTGCTCTACCAGATGACGCTGCGGGGGCCCGGGACCAAGGCGAACAGCCGCAGCCGTGGCCCCGGTGCCCCTCGGCCGGGGCACTGCATCTGAGAGGGGCGTGACGAGTGGCAGGCCTCTGCGGCCAGAGCGGCCATCCTGCCAGCCCTGCCACAAGCGACGCCTTCCCGGCCCAGGGCTGCCCTCCTGACCCTGCGCGCTCCTGCCCAAACAGCAGCTCTCTCCTGCCACCTTGCGGGCCCCGTGGACATTTAAAGAAAGCCGCCTCCCCACAGCAGCCTCTGTGCTGCCCTGGCAGCTGCCCCCGCAAGACATGTGCCCACGCCCGCCCTGGTGTCTTGGTTTGGAATGGGAATCAGCATTCCTAGGGGAATCCAGGGATTCAGAGGAGGGTTCCAGGGGCACTGGGCGTGTGGAGAGGCCATGCTGGCAGCAGAAAGGAGGCAGAGGCTGGAACTGAGGTGTGCTGGGTGCAGATGCGCCTGTGGCACGCTGCTGGGGCACACTTGGGGCACCTGCCCTCTCCCGAGCCCTCCCGCTGTCCATGGGAGACCCTGGACCAGGGTGCCTGGCTGGCTGGCTGGGCTCCTTGTGCTTTCCAGCCAGCTCTGGCAACCGGATTCCCAACCCCTGAAGCCCCTTGGTGGCTTTCTTGGCCTATGTCAGGAGTGTGGAGGGGTGGGGGGGGCGTGGCAGAGCAGAGCTCGGGGGAGGGCTCTGGGGGTACTCACATCATTGGGAATGGTGAGCTCGTGGGTGCTGGCTGGGGGACTGGCGTCCAGACCTGGGCACACCAAGGGGACTCTGTTAGGCCGGTAGGAGGTGGTCACCCTGGACCCTGCGCCCCACACCCAGCCCAGCCCCAGCTTCTCTCCAAACAAAGAGACGGAAACCCAAGTGGAAGGATGTCTGCCTCTCTGCCTGGGCACGTGGTGGCTTCCCCCCGTCATGCTGCTCAGCCAGCCGCTCACAAGGCCCTTCAGACGCCTGGAGGCCCTAAGCCAAGTGGCTTGCAGGGCATGGCACGGGTCACAGCAGGGTCTCCTTGGTGCAGGGGGCACAGGCTGGGTGACCCAGATGACCCTGAGCCCCTTCTCCTTGGGTTCTTGCCCCTTGCCATTCCCTGACCAGGCTCGGCAGCACAGCCCCTCATTCCCTCTGACCTGGCTCTGGCCCAAGGCCCCTGTCCAGCTGGCTCCCCACCTGGCCCTGGGAAGTTCCTCCACTTTGCAGCCAGGAGACCTGATAGCGCCCCTGATTCAGAAGGAAGCTCTGGGCCCAGAGCTGGGCTGGTCTCCACAAGGGTGGCCATACCTGAAATGGACAGGCCTCGCAGGCACCATGCTGCACACTGCTGCCCTCCCACTGAGTGCCCAGGCAGACACACTCCTCAGAGCTTTAGGGGCAGGAGCCGCTGTTGCTCCAGAGGCAGTGACAACAGAATGCAGGTGGGCTGGATGCATGGCTCTAGCACTTGGTGCTTCTGTCTCCTCCCTGGAGGCCTCAGATGCCAATCCATGCCGGAGAGACTGCTCTTTCTACCTGCCCAGACCCAAGAGCCTCCATCACAGCCAGCTGCTGCAGACTGGGCTCAGGAACCTTCAGAATATTCCAGAACCTGAATGCCTCCCCTGCCCCTGCCCCTGGGTCCAGAGGGGGTCTTGAGGAAGCCAGATCAGGTACCTTCAGGACTGCTCAAAGCCGTCTGTGGCTGGCTCCCCACTGCTGCCGGCCTCGCCCTGCTCCTTAGCCTGCACAGCCTCCCCTCTCCCCCGCTGGCCCACGGCCCTGACGCCTCCTCCTGCCTCTCCTCCATGGCGCTGGGCCGTGGCGTGAGCACCCTGGGCCTCTGTCTCCCGCCAGGAGGGCCAGGCTGTTCTGGGTGGGGCCCATGGAGCACGGAGCTGGGCCCTGTGCTGAGTCATCAGATTGCCACAATTGCCTGATTAAACCTAGTGTTTCCATCCTTTATTTATTTTAAGAAAGGTATTTTCAATATTTATTTGGTTGTTCAAGCATCTACACACATCCCATAGTGACATTTAAAATGGCATCTAAGACATTGCCTTAGCTCTGTTTGAGTCTTGGACAGCAACCACTGGACAGCCTGGTTTGTGGGGGGGACATAAAGCCGTCACACCTGTTCCTTGGTTCGTTGTGATGAAGGGGCAAGTACCGACTTCTCTTTAAGGGAACACCGGGTGCATACTCTGAAGATGCGTCCGTTTAGACCCTATCTGTGCATCTTGGGACCAGGCAGCCCAGAGGGAGTCTCTCAGAGGAGATAATCCATACTCCACACAAAACACCCAACAAGCAAATGCCTAGTAACCTGCTGCTGTGGCAGGACACTTGTGTGCATGCATGTGGGTGTGCACGTGTGTACTGTGGGTCCCACCGGCCTTGGGCAGGGAGGCCATGTACACATGTGTCCCATGTTCCTTCTGCGAGGGCCAGTAATGCAAGAGGCAGAAGGTCGGGTGGGGGTGGGGGCCGCCTGCCCGAGGCAAGCCACACTCCAGGGGTCCCAGGCGTCTCCAGAAACCATCTCTGGGTAATCGTATGGAATTACATTCAGCTGTAGACGGCTCAGAGACATGTGTGTTGTCACCTAGATATGCAGCTCTGTAAAGGCTTAGACTTCAGTACCATAATTAAAATATTCTGTGAATGTTTTTCTCTAATTTCCCTTCATTACATTCTGCATTAACTTAATTACAGGCTGCCCTGGGACATCACCAGTGCATGCAGCATCAGAGCTGCGTCTCAGCTCTGGAGAGGTGCCCCTGGAGCTCCGGGTGCACCGCTGGGCCGCACACCCTGAGGGACGGGTGGGGGCAGACCCATGGGGATCCTGGGACTCCCTGATGCCACAGCTGCCACTTGGGGCCCAGAACACACTGGAGGGTGACAGCCATGCAGCCAGGAGCGCTTCTCTCCTGTGTCCACTTTAGCTGGACATGCACTTTCCAGCTCTGACCCTTCATAGAAGGGGGCCCCTCTGCCCAGGCCATGCTTTCAGCCCTAACTGCATTGTCAGTGAGCCACTCCCCGGCTCCAGGCCCAGGGTATACCTACAAGCCTGGGCCCTGCCCAGATATCCCACATACACCTTAATGCAAATCAGAAGGGGTGCAGCCAGACCCAGCCCAGCTGGCCGTCCCGCAGCGCTCACGGCTCCTACGACTGTCTGGAAAGCACACATCCTGGCAACTCGCTCACTGCAGATCCCCACAGTCTGTGCCCCAGGAGGACAAATGATAACAGACAGTAGCTCTGCCACATTCGGGGCCTTTCGATGACAAGCAGCTGTGCTCTGAGCACTGCCCACACGGCCCCGGCAGCACACAAGGCTCGCCCACGCTGGCAACGGAAGCTGTGAGCCGTGTGTGCAGACCCGGTGCTGGCCACATGGCTGTCCCTGGGCGGCCCTGGCCTCCCCATCACCAAGGCCCTAGCCATCCCCGTGGCAGATGCGAGCAGCCCCTCGCCCCCTCCTTCCACCAGGTCGGTCACTGGGGCCAAGGAAGGGCAGCTTGGGGCCTTCCTGGCCTGCTGGCTGTCCATTTGGGGTGGCTTTGCTTTACCTGACGACTGGCCCATCAGATTTTGAGCTTCTTCGGAGGAGTGTAAAGGCAGCTTCTCTCCTGGAGAGCAAAGAAGAAACAGATTTAATGTTTTGCCCTCAAGGAGATAAGCAAGGTCACTTCAACTAGGGAAGCTCAAAATCTGACTGGTGCACACACAGCAGACCAGTGGTCCAGTGGGGTCTGCAGTGCACAGCCAGGGTGTGGCTCTGCCTTCACGGGAGGAGAGGGGCCCGGCTGGCCAGACGCAGCCGAGGTGAGGCCCGCCCGCCCCCGAGCACTCAGGGTGCCCGGTAACCACACCCTGGGCCAGGCCTGGCTCATCAATGTGTTCCTGGGTGGGTGCCACTCCCAGATGGATAACAGGCTCCCGCACAGGGCATGCCTGTCTGCCCGTCTCAGTTCTTGCTCCTGGGAGGGCCCTAGGGTCCTGTGGGCAGCGGAGCAGGCCCAGACCCTTGAGAGGTGGACATCTCCTCACACAAAGCCACTGTGAGATGGCTTGCCCACCAGACAGGCCTCCCCGCCCGACCCAGTGGCGTGCACGCCATGCTGTGTTCACGCTGCCTCCTTTGGAATTCAAGCTAGATCGTGCCTGCTCTGCTCCCTACCCTCAGTAGTGCACTCAGACAGTCAGTCCCCGGGTGAGAAGAGAGGAGGTGAGAAAGGGCAGCTGGGTACGTACCAGGGAAAGCGGGGTTGGTCTGTCCGAGGGGAGGAAAGGGGGTTTGCTGCATGGCCAGCTGGTGGAGCTTGGTCAACTGCTGGGGGCAGGAGGGACATGAGAGCTAAGAGTTATCGTCATCGAGTACAGGTCACACCAAATTAAAGGCAGTCACAGAGCTTCATACAGACAGGGGGCCATGCGGACACATGGCAGACGCAGCAGAACTCAAGGACTTGGCCTGGCAGAACCAATGGGCCCTTGCTGGCGGGCATGCCAAGCAGCTTCCCACTCCTGGCTCCCTGGCAGCTCCAGCCTGAACCAGCTGGCCCTCCCCTCTCATAGGCCCGGGCAGACTAGGAGCCCCGCCGGTATGGAGGGGCAGGGACGGTATGCACAGGCCGCCGGGAAGGGGAGGTCTGGGGAGCCATGGAACAGGAACAGTTGGGCCTCTGAGGGCCCCCTGGTCATGCTGTCACTCAGAACCTAGCACATCCTTGGGAAACCCACATGAGGCTCCCTTTGCAAACCTTGGCCTGGCTCCAGGCCCAGCCCTGCCTCGCTGCAGGGCATCCCTTGACCAAAGAGGCCACTTGGAGGGGTTGACCTTAGCTCACACACTTGCTGCCTGTCACTTCCAGGATTACAGAACATCATGCTGGAGGTTCCCAAGGAGGAAGTGAGAGCCACAGAGCAGACAGACAGGCCCCTGTTGGAGCCTCACTGCACAGGCACCTGTGTCCAAGTGGGCTGCTCTCTGGCGTCATCCCCCCCCCAGTCACTAGACGTTCAAGGGGTGGCTCTGAAATGAAGTTTAATTTTATCTGAGCCTCATTTCTTAAGTAAAACTTAATATAACAGAAGATAAAGGTGAATGTGGAGGGGCCACATTTGGGGCTGAAGGCAGGGGCTGCATGCTCACAGTCCCCACACACTTTGTAGACACAGCAGTGGCCTCAGGCCTGGCTGGTGCCCAGGGCCATGTGCACCTCCAGCCGTGGAGGTCAGGCAGTGTGCTTGCCTAAGGAGCCTGACCTCTCTGAGAGACACCTGCCTGACAGCGGGTGGGGACACTCAGGGGCTCTCAGGTCACACGTGGTGGGCCAGATACCATGTTTGCCCACCATGCACAGTCTCGGGGAGGCAGCCACTGTGCCAGGGGCCCCAGCGCGGACTCCACACCCGCGTGTCACAGAGGAACCCCCAGGGTGACAGGGAAGGGGGTTGCTGTCAACCCAGCGCCAAGAGAAAGGCTGAGCGCCCTTCCCAGTTCCAGGAGGACCAAGGCTGCCCCAGCCGGCTCAGCCTCTTCCTGCTTCCACTGGTCAGGGTCTGGCATGCAGACTCCAGCTGCAGTGGAGCTGCGACCACCCTGCGGCTGCCCAGTCACAGCTCTGAGGTGGAACCTTTGCTGTGTGAGCTGCTGGGACCAGGGTGGCCGTTGTCCCTGAGGTCTGTCTCTCCTGGATGCTCCTGTCACGCCTGCCATTCCAGATATGTCTGCTTCCCTCCCTCCCGCCCTGGAAGTGGTGAGCGCATGTGGCAGCAGCCCCCCGACCCCAAGGCTCCCTCCATCTCTGGGCTGCTCCCTGACCTGGAGCGCTTGGTGGGGCCTGACCAGAGAGGACTGGCCACAGTGGGGCGGGGCTGGTACATATGCTGCCAGCATGTCTGCCCAGTGACCTAACCAGGCAAGGGGTGATGAGAGCGGCTCTGCACCGGAGCCCTCAGAAAGGTGCCAGAGGAGTGGCCGAGGAAACACTGCCACAGGGCCACCAGCTGGAGTCACAGGGACAAGAGGGGAGAAGTGGGCTGCCTCCATGATGCCTCGGGTGACATGACCCTATAGGTATGACAGTGCGGCATGAGCGACAAGAAGGAGCCCTGAGACGGTCCATGCCAAGAGCCTCCTGGGGACTCAGCTGCACAGAATGGATCCTGCAAGCCCACCTCCCACCTGCAGGACCCCAGCCCCGGGCCCTGTGCACAGCAGGTCACACCAAGTCAGGGGGCATCTGGCTGTACTCTGAGCTCATAGACAGGTGTGAAGTCCTCACAAGGGGGGTCACTCCAAGTCCCCAGCTGGAGGAGAAAGCCCCATTTCCCGACAGCAGACGAGAGCGAGCAGCGAAGGCTGTTCACTATCAGGCTCAGCGCCCGCCCACCAGCTGCTCTCTACACTCGGGCCTCTATTTCACCCTGTCCCTTGCTAGTACCTCTGAACCCCAGGCTGGCCTTCTCCCCAGGAGGGAAGGGGCTCTACCTGTCCCCACGCCCCCGAGTGTGCAGATGTGTGCTCGCAGGAGGCAGGGGACAGTGGGGCTCTGGAGGTAGGAGGACTGGCCTGAGTGGCTGCAGCAGGCCCAGCCCCACAGACACCCCCGTCTGCTCTACAAAGGCCTCTGCTGCCTTTAAGACGAGGGCCCGTGGAGGGAGCAGGGGGCTGTGCACTCGAGCTGGGTGCATAAACACCATAGACTGCCAGGACTTTCCTGCTGGCTGCCCAGCCGCCCAGCGGCTTAGCTCCCCTGGACTCTCCATTGGCCCCGGCGCAGCAGCACGACAAGGCACGCTCAGCAGTCAGCTCCCAGCCCACCACGGCATGTGTCACAAGCTAACGCTTAGGCCCAGCAACCCCAGCTCTGACCCCTATTACCGAGATACATTTGCTGCTTGTATGAAAAGCACGACCACATTAGCAAATAAATCCCCCTCCAACCAGGCACCCACAGACATACAGGGTGTCTCTGGGATGAGGCGCTGGCACACAGCGGCTCCCAGACAAACACCTGCACAGCATCTGGACGGACAGGTGTCGGCTGGCATACTGCTCTCATCTTGACTCTGCCCTAGGTCAAGTACTTCACTTCTCTGGAACTCAATTTCTACGTTTTTTTAAAGGAGCAGGCAGGACTAAGTGCCAAGAGGAATTCCCGCTTGAGATATTTCAGCCATCAAAACATATCAGACTTTTGGTGCCTCCAAATCACCAGGTGAGGGAAGAAAGAGAGGCTGGAGGAAGCAGGGTCTCATATTATAGATATTTCTCTGTAACTTGCCTTTTCCACTTAACAGTATGTTGGAATATAGACACAGACACATACTAAACACAGACAATACTAAAATTCCAAGTACCCATATATACACAAGTCGAGGAGTCATCACTAAATGAACCCACCATTGCAACTGTAGGCACCAAGGGCATCCCACCCACAATGGGCGCTCAGCGTGCAATCATGCCAGCTGGGCACAGATGAGGCCAGAAGACCCCTGCCTGAATGAGTACAGAGGGGTGCTCTTGCCACCAAGAGTGACACCACACAGTGTGGTGCGGCACACAGGAACCTAGCGGTCGGTTTGCTGGAAGCCCCTCTCCCACTGCTCTGCGTGACCCAGCAAACATTTGCTTACTGAGAATTTACTTTTTCATCTTCCTTTGAAGGCCCACACCCCTACCCACTGCTCCTTAGTTCAGGATAACATATACCTCATTTTCCCTGTCTTTGCTATCTCATAACTGTGTGGATTCCCCAGACCTTTGTGACTGAATCTGATTTCCTCCTGTTAGTCTGTCTCCCCATTTTCACTCTTAGACCAGCCAGAAGAACCTTAAAGGGTAGAGGAAGGTTTCCTCTCAACACAATAATCTTCCTCATAGTGCTGTCATCTGCATTCGTGCTTCCTATGATAGATGTCTTTTCCCATTTTCCTATTTTTGCTGACTCACAAAAACTCTTTACATATTTCAGATACTAATTCTATTACATGTGCTGAAAAGGTCCTTTCCCCACTCTATTTATGGTGCCTTTAGAGAAAGATAATTAAAAATTTTAATGTAGTCAAATTAATCAGTATTTCCTTTATGCTTTGTGCTTATGCTTTAAGAAGTCCTTTCCTGACCTATGAACAAAAAGATATTTTCCTTTATTTTCTTCTAAAAGTGAAGTTTTCCTTCTTGTGTTGGAAGTTCTGTGATACATAAGGGACATTTTTGCTCATGTGAACAGCCCACCATCTACTCTCTCCTCTGTGACCCATGTAGGCAGCTCTGACACAGACAAGGCCTCCTTACCCACATGGGTGAGATTCCCACTGTCAGGTCCAGTCTCCCTTTGCACTGAGACCACATATCACAGTATGTATAGCCCTCAGTAAATCTCCACATCTGCTCGGACAAATCTCCCTACTATACATTCCCTTCACAAATTTCTTGGTGATTCTCAGCCTTTGCGCTCTGCAGGCATTTTAAAACAGTACTTTAAGTCCCTGTAGGGATTTTGATTGGAGTTGTATTGCATTTGCACCTCAATTTGGGAAGAACTGACATTTTAAAGTTACTTAGTGTTCCCATTCATGAACATGGTATGTCTCTCCATTTATGTTTGGTCTTTAACTTTTAATAAAAACACGTTTTAATTATTTATTTCAACTTGCTTTTTAGTAAGGGAGTATAGACTATATGATTCCAATGCTTGAATGGTGATGAGTCTTCCTTATGGTCTGGTATACAATTAAGTGTGGTCAGTGTTCCCATGAATTCTACGGCTACACTGGGTGCAGGATTCAATATATGCGCATCCTATCAGGCTCACTGTACTGTTCAGAGCATCTTTACTATTGTCTGACCTTTAATGAAAGAGGCATGCCAACATTCCACAATGCCTGTTAAGATCTCTTTGTGGCTTGTTCTTTTCTTTATAAAATATTGGAAGATGTTTTAGATGCATATAAAATTTGAATTTGTGTCTCCTAGTGAACTGAACCCTTTATTAATACGTAAGGACTAAACAACAAATTTGCCTTAAAGTCTTGGTTTGTCCCCACTAATATTAACATTGATACATAAGATTTTGGTACTAGGTTCCTAGGATAGCTTTTTATATTCTTTCCATTTTCTGGGACCTTATTCTTTAAGTGTATCTCTTAAAAAAAAAACTACTAGTTTTTTGGCTTTTGTCTGCATGTCTATTTCTTTGAGGTTTTTTTTTAAGTCTGAGGTTTTTTATAAAACTTTTTTTAACTTTGCTCACAATATACTATCCATGAAGACCAGTTGTGCATTTCTAACTGTCCACATTTCCTAGGATTTCTTTTCTTTCCATCCTTCCTTCCTCCCTCCCTCCCTTTTCTCCTTTCCTTTCTCTTCCCTTCCTCCCCCTTCTTTCTGTTGTCTTTTGTATTGATTAATAATTTTTCTCCACTTACTCATTTTCCCCTCTGTACCTCACAGAAGTTATATAACTGAACTGTCTTCTGTTAGTGACCACTTTGAAATGTAACATGTACATTTAAAGTCTAAGCTCAGCATCTCCACCTGAATATGTTCATTCCCTCAGCCCCATCCTGCTCTATGATTCATTTTTGTCCATTTAGTTGTTTCATTAGTTCCACAAATTAGCCTTGATATTGACTTTATAGACCATGTTTATTTTCACTGACCCAAATGGTTACATTTTAATGGAGTCAAACCATATTTTCTTTATGATTGGTGTTTGAGTGAATGAAAGAAAGGGTACTTCTCTTTGCTCACCACTCATTCTTGCTTACCCCTGCTAGCCTGCCTGCACATCACTTTCCTTTTCCTGAAGGGCGCCCATCACAAGTGCAGTCACAGCCGTGCATCTGTGAGTATCTGTTCTGGTCCCTGGAGGACACCCCTGTGGCAGAATGTGGGTTGTCGGCTGTGGCGCCTCGCTCTGGCCCCCACTGCTCCCGCTGAGAAGCAGCCTGGCCCCTGTTCTGTGGCTTTCCTGACTCCTTTTCTCTCTGACTGCTCTGAAGATTCACTTCTGGTACTGGTGTTACATGGTTTTACTTTGCTATGTCTAAGAAGGATTTCTTTTTGTTTGTCTTGTTTGGGATTTGCTGGGATTCCTGGGTATGGGGACTGGTTTCTTTTACTAATTCTAGGAAGTCCCCAGCTCTCCCTCACTCCATGCTGTCCTCCCTTCTCGGGGCTCCCACAGACACACGTGTTATCAGTGTTTCTCAGACTTTCACATACAGAAGAGCCATGCAGGGGTCTTGTGAAAATGCAGATTCTGACAGAAGGGCAGGCTGGGAGGAATGGCCCATGAGGGGCTCAGCAGCAGAGGCTGCCGACCTACGGGTCTAACACCAGTGGGCAGAGACACAAGCTGTAGCTCATGCCCACAGTGAAGGTTAACCTGGACCTCCTAATCTCCATAGCCCTGCCCTGGCAGCAGGTGGGGCAGGGGCAGCTCTCCACCACTCGGAGCCACAGGAACTCAGAATGGGCAGGGTCAGAGGTGTAGCCCATCAACTGGGTGGTTGGGGTGTGGCTACTCTTTCCACTGTTTTAACGGGAGGAGCAGCTTTAGTGCCATCACACCAAAGGGTGGTAGAGGCAGACCTGAGGAAGTGGGCGAGGAAAGTACACCATGACCATCAGGGTGCATGTGTTCACTCTCTGCAGGTCCACAGTCAGTGATGCAGTGCGACAGCCCCGTGGGTGGAGGGCAGGAAACACTTTCCACACAGGGCCTGACTGGGCATTCTGCTGCCTCACTGCCGCCGTGACCCGCAGATCTCTCCCTCTCTCACTGCCCATCCTGAAGAGCGAGCTTCCTGGCAGATGCTGGTGTCCCTCTGGCTCCCAGGCACCTTACCCCTTCTGCAGAAGTCCAGTGCCCAGGGAGGGAGCTGGCTCTACTGCTCACTGGCTCTTTAGCTCTGGGCAGGTGGCCTAGAGAAGCTTCTGCTTCCCTCTGAAAGCCAGTTCCCACAGTTGGTGCCAGGCTCAGGCAAGAAAGGAGAGATGGCAGGTCCTCTGCGGTCATTTCCAGCCTGCTATTTTGTCTGGTTGGCTCTTGACATCCCTTTAAATGAGGAGGTGCTGAATGACCAATGGCTGGGAAGCTCTGAATACCAGACATAAGGATTCAGGCATGAGGGCACACTTGCCAGTCCTTCCAGAAGACAACCTCCTGTTGTAGTCTCACTAGCATAATCCTGGGTCCTGGCCATGCTCTCTGTATCTGCTCCTGTCCCAAGGCCCCGCTGCCCCCCTTCCCCTTGGGCAGGACGGTGGGGGTAAGTGGCAGCTTCTGTGGCTGGCTGCAGCTGGGGCTAAGGACTTGGTCCTCCAGGCTCCCACCATCCCTGTGCCACCACAGAGGCTTCCAGAAGGGTTCAGGTAAAGCCAGCTAGTGGCAGGCAAGAACTCGCAGGGCACTTGCCAGGGTGTGGGCCCTGATAGTTATTTAAGAAGGGTAAACCAGAAAGTATGCTTCAAAGTCAGGTGCATAAAAAATAGGTATTATTTTAGTTCTAGATAAACAAATACTCAGCTGTAGGAAATACACTTTCTCAGAGTCTTTGTCAATCCAGGAAAGATATTAAGCCACCAAAAGATGACTGTGCATGTGCCCACTGTGGTGGAAATATTTAAATTGTATATTCAGTTATACTATGAAATAAATTAGTTATTTCCTGTAATGGCACATTTGGGTTCTAAGAAATGAAGCTTTAAAATTCATCTGAATGCCAAGCTCAGATGGAAATTGCCTTCCTGGCCATCATAGCCTGTCACCATTCATTTCCTTTTGTTCTTAATGGACGTCTGGTGACGGCCTGGACTTCCACTGCCTGCACCCACAAGAAAGGAACTTCCCACGTCAGTGACAACAGTGCTTGCCATACGTGGGGCCGGCCTGAGAGCAGCATGCTGCGACGCCATCTCACTACACACAGCTGAGCACTTCAAGTCTCTACCAACACGAGAGGCAATTCTGTAAGTTATCTGCAAGTTAAACTAATCTGAAAAGAAACCTGTGATCTACCCATTTTTAAGAGATGCTGAGAAAATCATATGGAAAAAGAAAACATGGATATGAAAAGCAAACCAAAGTCTGTCATCCTTACATGGCACAACCCACACCTGTGGCGAGCTCAGACAAGAAGCACTTTTCTATAAACTTGGGAGGCCAGACCGATGCAGCCTCCCTGACAGCTTCAGACCCTGTGGCTGCAGGAAGTCACAGGCCTTCATCCTGACGTGTTCTCTGGGTGACCTGCCCTTCACTGGAGGCCAGGCCACTCTGTTGGCTGTGAGTTATGACGCTTTAATAAGTCAAAGAATGAGGGTTCAAAACTGCCATTCTTTGCACACCCATTTCTAAAGGCACAAGACCGCTGTCCTAGAAATTAGCCCTCTGACCCACGTGATGGCACGTCCTCACCTCCCGTCACCCATGCAGGCCCCCTGCTAGGAGCCATGGGACCTCCACATCCACTGCCCTGCCCGCCCTCCACCCACTGTGCCTACACTCAGGCCATGTTCCTGCCCTTGGGGCCGGCTGCCCTGCTCCCAGGCTCTACCCGCTCACGTGCAATCAGGCCCCTGTGCTGAGGGCCTGCACCTGTCTGATATGGCGGTCTTACAGAGCTCCCGGGCTCTTTGTGCTCATGGGCTATGTTGTCAGCCTCCTATAGCACTTTAACTTGCTGAGTGGGTTCATCTCTTGCCCCTCACGGGATGCCGAGCATCCTCATTGCAGAGAATGGAGTATCTGGGAATCACCAGTAGAGGTCGAGTTTCAACATGTGTGCCTGGAAGGGAGGCCAAGGTGGCCATGGCTGGTGGAGGTGTGGGCTGCTGCCTCAGTGGGCTTAGGTGACGGGCAAGGGACAGGAGGAGCTGTGGAGTGTCTCACCAGCCCACCGGCTGAACTCGGGCTTCTGTGCCCTCCTGGTTTCTACTGAACAAGCGGAACCCAGCTGCTTTGTGCAGGACAGCGGCTTCCTGAGTGGGGACAGGAGACCTAGGTGGCCAGTGCAGCAGCTCTGCTGCCAGAGCCACTAAAACCTCTGGGGCCGTGCCCAGGTGGGGAAGGGCTTCTCAGTGGCTGGGCACAATGTGTCACTTAGTGAGGAGTTTTAACAAGGAGGGGCTGTCAGCCTTTCTCTTCTGCTGAATAGAAACTTCCTGCACTGCCAGGGACTCCATCTCTGCTTCACTGCGTGGGTGTTTACTGTCAGTCACCACTGAGGAGCCCGCCTGGCCCTGCCCCGTGTGCGGAAGGTTTGAGGAAGACCTGGGTATTGCTGTCACCTGGCCCTTCCCTGTGTGGACAGGTGCGCCTCAGCTCCCAGAGACATATATATGAAGCGCTTTCCCAGGAGAGGCAGAAATATGCAAAATGGTTTGGAAACGAAGGCGGCCTCCGCAGGTTACTTGAGGTGTGCTCTGTCTGCGAGCCAGGAAGCCCACTCCCCACCTGGGTCTTCTCTTGCTTGTTTCTTCTTTTCTGTTTCTTCCCCCACCCTACTTTTTCCAGTATCAACTGGCGAGGACCTTGCTGCCTGGTGTCCCTAAAGCCCTGTGGAGAAATGCCCTTCTGCTCACAGCCCCGGGAGAGGCATGTGGCTCCTGGGGGTCCAGGCCAAGAGGAGTCTGATCCCGCCCCCCGCGGTGCATTCTAGGGTGTCTCTGTCCTGCAGCACTAACAGTACAGTCCGACGAGATGGAGTGGGAGGCACGGGGCAGCCCGGAGGACAGGCATCTCACTAGTGCTACCAGGGAAGCCAAGGCCTGTTGGGTGGCTTTGGGATACAAGGGGCCCTGTTTCAACCTGTGCTCTGCAAGGGAAGAGCGTAGCTTTAGCTGAGGCCTTTCCCAACAATCTCAGAAGACCTGTTTGGGGGCACATCACCTAACTTCTGGGCCAAACATAAGGCACTGTGCTCTCCCTGCCCACCCAGGCAGGTGCCAGGGTGGAGTCATCCTGCCCTGTGTGCAGAGGAAAGCCCCAGACTACAGCAACAATCAGAACAATTTGACATCAGGCCAAGTCCTCCGCACGAGTAGAATTAGTGCTAAGAGGTTGAAAGTTATTCAAGGTCATATGGATACGACAAAGGTCAGGAACATTGAAAAAATGGTATTAATATTATTGTGTAATATTAATATTAGTAGCAATTTAACAGCAGCATGCAGGTAGGTAAATGGCAATGAGAAGAGGAGGTGAAAGGCAGACAGAGAAAACTCACATCTGGGTGGGGGATGGCATACTGTCCCTGGATCGTGTAGGCCTAGAAAGAGAGAGACACTGTCAGCCCACGAAGTGGCCAGCGCTAGTCACCCACCGGCATCACTCCCCTCAGGACAAGGGCTTTCTCGGGAGTGGGACCTTCCTGTGAGCAGCACCAGGCCACTGGGTAGGGTGTTCCCCTCCAGAGGTGTCCCACCTGCCCCCAGTCATGCAGGACAAAAGGCAGATCCTCCCAGGGCACCAGAAGTGCAGAAACCAGCAGGGTCCTGGTGTTCAGTGTGGTCAGTGCCCCTTGGTGGTATGGCCGGGCTACCACCAGACACATGAGCCGGGAGACCTCGCCCCCCACTTTCTGGAGAGCTGCAGGAAGCCGAGGCTATCAGCGGGGAAGGAGGGAAATGCTTCCCACTCCCCTGATTTCTCAGAGAAAAATCCCTAAGAATGATCTGACCCCCTTGGAGATTTACTAATTATTAACCTTTTGAAAATTTATTCAATGATCAGGAATAGATACTTTTGGGTTATCCCCAGAAAATCAAACCAGAAGAAAACCTTTAAAAGGTGATTTAAAACGAATTTTGCAAAAGCCAGATTAGGAAACGCACCCTCATCAGTCACCGGACTGGCTGACCCAAGTTCAGCCTCAGTGGACTGGTCGGTTGAGTGGGGTGGCATGCCCCTGGCACGGCCCCAGGGCACAGCATGCACCCCAGGCATCACCTTGGTTTTGTGGTTTCACTTGCCTCAGGATGGTGACCTGACTGGCCATAGAGTGTGGACCCCGTGGCCTCTCCCGCAATTCCACCCCATCTGCCTCAACAGTCCATCAGCCACAACGCTCCAGAAACTCATGGGACAAACAAACCACACAGAGTCAAGGGAGAGTAAAGACCGAAGACTTGCGGTCAGGCCTCATGTGGTGTGAAAGTGCCAGCCGGGGCCAGCGATACTGGGGCCCTCAGCACGGGTGGCACAGATGTGGAGGGATGTGGCTCCCAGCCCCTGGCCGCATGGGGGCTCCCATCCACGTCCTAAGTGGACATGTAGTGCCCAGCCATAGGGGCCTTCACACTCGGTGTCCCTAAGCACCCAAGAGGGAAACTGCAGGCAGGCCATGTGTCACTTTTGTGGACCCCAAACTGAAGGTGGTTTCCAAGGTTTTACCAAACTGCAGGTTTTAAATTGCTGAGCATTTTCATGATCAATGATCCAGCCTGGGGGTTAAAGCCAACCAGTACTAGGCAGGGGCCACCAAAGGTGAGGCCAGCTGGGGCGAGGGTCTGTGCCACGGCTTCAGGGGCAAGTAAAGGAGCCTCAGCAGATATGGCAGTGGCTTCATGCGAGCAGCAGTGGGGCTGCAGGGTCTGCGTCCGTCAGGACCCCATCTTCAGGTCTATGGGGGTGCTAGCAGGCACGCAGTCCAATGTCCCCGACCATACAGGGTGTGGAGCACCTGCTGCCCCCGGGGATGTCCCCTGGGCTGGCAGGCCTGGCGGGTTGGGGCCTGCTGCCCTCACAGCCTTGTGCACCCAGGTGGGACCGCACATACTTCCCCACGGGCGCTCCCGCATCCTATGTGGTTTAGGTTCCTGACTCATTGTTTTGTTCACTTAGGTGCTGTGTTTCTAGTTCTATTTGACCTGTGTGAGCAGCTTATCACCCCCTGTGTACAGAGGGAGAGGAAAGCCAGACCTGAAATGTGAGAGTGGCACTATACAGTGGGGACACCTGTAGCAGGCTGTGTCCCCCAACCTTGGGGCAGGCTGAGCACCACGGGGATGGGTACCTTAAGAAGACACGTCTCTAGTGTAGGTTTTGGTGTGTCCACATGTGGGTGGCTTGGGGGCAAGGTTCTAGAGAGGATGCCTTGCTGGCCAGGGTCTTTCACACCCTCTCCTCTGAGCTTGCACTGTGGCTCCTTGGATAGGTCACCTGCACTGCAGCAGTGACTCACGTGACTGCCCCCATACATGACCACAACTAACCATGAGCCCGGCTGTCCCAGCACAGGCTAAGATGCGCCCAGCCTGGCAGCTGATACCTGTGAGAGCAAGGACCTGGCTGCCCTAATGCAGGGGTGGACCCACCCTTGCCATGCCCATGGATGGCATGTGGCAGGGCCCGACCACAGCATCGCAGCCCAGCCCATGGGGCCTCCACCTCCCTGCTGAAGGAAGCCCCACTGTGCCATGTGGCACCTTCACTGGTATGTCCGCATGCCAGGCCGGAGCACATGGGGAACCAGCCTGCCATCTAGCCTGGCCTGAGGAGGAAACCCAGAGCCCTCAGAGTTCTGAACAAGGCTTGCTTCTGGGCCTAGGGGAAGGCTGTCCACCCCAGCTGCAGAGGGTGACGTATACACACGAGGGCTCTGGGCAGAGGGAGGGCTGCAGGGGACTTCAGGGTGAGCCCTCGCCTGCCCTGAGCCATGCAGGCCACGTGGGGGCCCTACAAATGTTGCTGAAGACATGGGCACAGACCCTGCCCTCCCCCTACCTGTAAGCCAATTAGAAGATCTGGTAAAATTCCTTTATGTAGTAAAGAAAAACACAGAGAAGACAAATTTGCCTTATCTTTGTTTCTTAATGGCCACTTTCCCGACCCGGGTCACCTCTGGGAAGTCTCTGTCTGAACTCTCCCTTGAATAAACACACACGTCATTGCCGACCGGACGCAGAGCTCCTCCAGGCCCGCTGGCTGGGCGCTCCCAGAGCCCACAGACCGCAGCTATGGTGACCCTGGTGGGCAGGGCCAGCTGAGCTCCCCTGCAGGGGGGCCCAGCACCCAGCAGCAGGGGCTGGGCCCTGCTCCCTCTGTTCAGCTCTCTCCAGGGCCTACTAAGTGAACTGTGACCTCAGACGGAAATTTCTCTGTGGCCCAGGGCCTTCAGGGCCCTTCCTAGTGGAACAGAAAGGAGGTCAGTGGCTGCAGCCAACAACAGGCGTGCCACGTGGCCCTGGGCTGGCCTGGGGCAGGGGACAGGGTGGGGCATCGCTGTGACATGGAGGCTCTTGCCCGGCCAGACGTCTTCCTTTCCTTGGGGCACGACCTCCCCTCACGTACCCCAGGACCCCTTTGTGGGATGTTTGTTGGGAATGTGTGTTTCAGGGGGAGACGGGACCCTAGATGCCTTGACTAAGAGTCATTAGTCACCTGCAGTGCTCCTGGCCCTCCACCTGAGCATTTTAAAAACACCTGAGAACTAGATTTGGGCGGGCATGGCCCAGGCAGGACAGGGTGTGCACTGGAAACTGTCCTCCTGCAACAGGGCAGGGAGATGCTGCACAGGACGGCACCTGCCCTTTCTGCCTGCTGGACACTGTCCTGCCTGGCCTCCCTCACGTGGTGGCCCACATCCACCAGGTGCCTGGCAGCGGGCTGGGAGAGCTCTGCGTCAGGCATGGGCGGGTGAGGACGTGCACGTGAGGAGGGAGAAAACCTGAGTGCACTAACGGGCAGCGGCGGGGGCTGCAGTAAAAGGCTGAGGTTGGCAGTGGAGGCCGCGAGCGGGTCGGCTCTTACCTGACCACCTGCAAAAATGACAGGGGTGGAGGCGGGCTTTGGGCGGTAGGGAATGGTGGCACCTTTCGGTGGGGACTAGGAAAAGGGACAGGAGAGGGAGAGACAGCGTTAGAGCAGCTTGCAGCGACCATCCTCAGGGGAGGTCTCCTTCCAGAGCCCACCCCGCTGCACCGCCTGCCCCCAGGCCCCAGTGGTGCTGGGAGGGCGGCGCCCCCTCTCCTCCACACAACCACCACCCTGAATGTGCTCCTTTGTGGCGCCTGAGAAGTAAGAATGCAGAGGGCTCTGCGGTGGTGTGGAGTGTGGCTCCCCGGAGGAAGTAAGGGGAGACGAGACCCTGCCCACACTGGCGGGGTCCTGCACGCTGCAGATGGATGGATGGCTGCCTCTGGGCCGCAAGCTGCTTCTCCACCCGTGTCTGCCCTGGTGTGTCTTCTGATTGAAAAACTTTCTCCTGAGCAGAAAGCTGGGCCTTGGGCACAGCGCCTGGGGGACTTCATGCCTGGCGCCCCCAGGGGCTCTGCTGGCCTGGGGTGGTGACATTTGCAGACATCTTCACAGAATTAGAAACATCAACTTCACAGCTGAGCAAAGGGAACCACTTTCTTAAAAAGTTTGGAGTCCAAATGAAATATTGCACTATGATGAGATTTGCTATGATTTTCTTTATGTGTCGAAAAGTACAGAATTCTTATCTTAGGATGAATGATATTCTCAAGCACCAGAAGTCTTTCATATTCTGATAAAGCCAACCTAACCCCTTGGTCCCATGCAGCGAGGCACCCCCATGTCCCCTACAAAGGGCAGTCCTGCCTGGGAGCGGTGGCCATGGGGCCAGGCCCAGGCGAGCAAGTAAAGCGCCTGCAGAGCGCGAGGGTGGGGCGGCCTGACCCTGCTGGGAGGTCGGGGTGTTGGCAGATTTGGGCCCAGCCCATGCCCCCAGCTATGGGGTGTGACCTTGAAGTGCCCTCAGTTGAGACACACAGCGATGTGGGGACAGGCTCCTCAAAGTGGGCAGCAGCTTCAACTCTGAAGCCCAGGCCATGCTGGTTGTTAAGTAGAAAAGGCTACTGAAGGCCCACAAGCTGAGCCAGGCTGGTGTTTGGGGAGACACCGGGCTCCCCAGAAGGCCCATCTCATGTCTCTGTGGTTACAACCAAAAGCCTCCAGAAACGTCTGTGCAAACCAAGTTCGCTGTGGTCTCCAATTAGCCTCCAGCTGGCAGGGGAGGACCACTACCAACCCAGCGGAAGAGGCAACCCTTCACCCTGCCTCAGGCACAGAACTCGGTCTGGCCGTTGCCTGTCCTGGAGCCAGGCAGGGCACTCCTCCAGCCCCTCAGCCTCAACCTGGCATGCCCTCTCCACAGCGTCCTCTGACTCCACTGATGGCGGTGCCCACTGTCCTGCACCAGGAGCTCTGCTGGACCCTCTTGCCGACTCCGATTCCTGGTTCTGGTTCTTGCTGAATGGTGACTCCTGTGCTCTCCGAGGGCTGCCCGATTTGCCAGCAGCACAGGGCAGCCCCTCTCTGGTGATCGCACTGGTGCGAGGCTCACCAAACCCATCTGAATGTCCTCTGCTCTACGTTCTTTGTTATCCTTCATTTAAAAACAGCTCCACTGTTCCCAGGCACAAGCAATCTTCCCAGCTAAGGAGGCTGCTTGCCTGCCCTATGACAGCCCTGATTACATCTGCCACAAGTGTGTCAATGTTCGTGTCTCATGGAGGCCTCCTGGCCCCTGGAAAGGGACAGGCAGTTCCAACAACAGCCCTGGGGCATCAGCACCCACAGCCAGGAGGAGGAGAGCCTGCTTCTGGGTGGGGGCAGGTCTGACTGCGGCCATGGTGCTGGCAGTGCTGCTGGGAGGACACCGCACTTCCGTTCTGACTGTAGGTCAGATGCTGTTCCTGGTGGGTTGTCTCGCTGGGCTCTGAGCTGTCTGCTCACTGTGCCCTCACAGGCCCCTGGGGGTCCCAGCAGCCAGGTACTCAGAGGGGTATGGGCCAGTACTGTCACCACGACCGTTGCATGGCAAACAGTTCAGAATAGCAATCTTTAGAAAAGTATTTTTAACTTCATAAAACACCACACTTCAAGAAAATAAGAGTTGGACACAGGTTTTAACACCAAGCCAGGTATAAGAAGGCGGAACCCACAGCTGCCCCCAGGTTTGGTCCTCGGGAGGCTGCCGTCCCGGTCCCCTGGGGAGGACCTCCTCTCAGACTTGGCGTGGGGTGGGGCCGGTGGTACAGCTGTGGGACCCTTTCCTTTGAGGCAGGATTACTTCATTTCAGCTTTAAAAAGACCAGCAGCTATTGAGGGTCTCGCTGAATCTTGCTACATTTTGGGTACTGGTTGAAATTCAGACCTCAGGGTTTTTTTCCCCCAAATTGCAAGAGAGGCCCTATCTTGTCTTGCTCAGGGCACCTTCTTTGTTTCTCTGGCTTTCATCTTTATCTGCATGTGTCTGTCTATAATTTGGGATTTTCGTGGCTCTGAGTCCTGCCCTCCTGTTGGTGGCCAGTGCTCGGATGCCTGCAGGCTTGGTGACACGGCTGCCAGCCTCTCCTGTCCACAGCAGGCAGCCCTTAGCCTCCTGCTCCAACTCTCCAGCACAGAGCTCCGTCAGGGCCCAACCTTTTACTGAATGCTCCTCACACCACGGACTAGTAAGAACTTTTCATCCAACTACAGAACTGAGGGGAGGGCACATGACCCCCCCAGGCACTCTCCCAGCTCCCAGTGAGGCTGGACCCACCCAAGGTGGCAGGCACAAGCAGCTGCCCCTCCACGGGGCCCATACACCCAGTACGGCTCTCAGGTCACCTTGGGCCTGGGTCAGGGCCCAGGCCATACCCCCAACACCCAGCCCCCACATGGCCATGAATGAATGAACCCTCACGGCCCCCCAGGCACCAAGGCCTTTGCTTCCACTGACACTGAGAAGCCACACCCGGCCTAGAGCAAGCCCCGGGTGTAGACTGTACCTCCAGCATGACCACACAGATCTGCTTGACGCACTGGATGATGGCGTCAGGTGTTCCCGAGATGGTCACTGCCCGCTCTGTGGAGTTAGGCAGCATGTCCCCAGCCACCTGGACCTGGGCACCTGTGGACTGCAGAAAATAGGTGGGAAGGGGTGCAGTGGGGTGCAGGCTGCATCAGCCAGGGTGGACCCCTGAGAGGGCTGTGCACAGGGGCGCCCGCCCCACTGCCAGCTCCCACAGAGGGACCTCCTGCATGCATCTCTGTCTCAGCCCACTGCTGCCCAGCAGTGAGCTGGTCCTGGCAAGTGACACTGGACATTCAAGCATTTAACCTGCAGGGGGCGTTTGCCAGAGATGGGGACAAAAATGGAGTGACTTCTTTCAAACATGAGGAATTCTATGTCTTCTGTGGAGTTTAAGATCACAGAGAGAGATGGATTCTAGATGGGCCTAAACTTTGTGTCTGCCTTTCCTGAAGGAGTCAAGGTGAAGGGGGGAAAGTTTGCACCTCACACGAACCCTATCCCAGGGACAGCTCACTGTTCTCCCAAAAAATGAGGCCTGACAGCCCCATAGATGCCTCGGCATCAAGGCACAGGTCCTCTGGGCCCTACACCCCATGATCGGGTGGCGGGGCGCCTCTCCTGCCCCATCCCAGGAGGCCCCTGTACATCTTGGCCAAAGCACACGCTGCTCCTCAGAGCTCCCAGGCCCCTCTGCAGAACGCCAAGCAGGTGTGTACATGCTGTCTGCCTCCTGGGTCTCCCTCTGCTTTGTGGGTGGCTCTTCCCCTGTGGCACGCTCTGTGCCAGCAGGGTCTGCAGCAATGGGGCTGACACTGCTGCGGGTGACCAAGCATCCCCAGGGGTGGTCCTGACCCCCAGGGCTCGATACCATTGGGCTGGACAAGGTTCTATTACCTCCCTGATCTCCTTGATCTTGGAGCCGCCTTTGCCAATCAGGGACCCGCACTGGCTGGCAGGAACCACCAACCTCAGTGTCACTGGGGGCTTGCTGGTGGCAGGGCTGTTGCTCATGGAGTTAATGATGTCCTGGGAGGGAGGGAGACACGTGTCGGCCAGCCTGGTGTGCCGGTTCATGTCAGCGAGGGCAGACCGGAGGCTCAGAGGTGTCTGGAATGTGCTCGGGAGCCTGCGTGGTGGCAGCACCAGCTCCAGAGATCAGAAGCAAGGCCCCCACCTGGAGGCTGCACTCCATGGGGAAGGGCAGGGAGGATGGAGGCACACGGACTCCCAGACGGAGGTGCCATGGCACGGCGAGTGGCTGGCTGAGCAAGCCAGAGAAAGGTCGCAGCGTAGGGCGGGCTCGTTACAGAGGCTGAGGCCAGGTCAGGCTCAAGACAAGGAGAGGGCAGCTGGGCAGACAGAAGGGACTGCACTGGTGCCCACACGTGGGCCTGTACGCTGGGTCCAGGGCAATATGCCTGGACTCAGAGTCTGACCTCTCCTCTGTCCTTAAGGCTTGGTGGGGCACGGAGAGGTCTGAACTGACAGGTGCATCTCTAAGTAACATAACTGTTGGGAATTTCAAAAACACTGGAAACACATGAAAACCTTACGATTTAACTCACTGACAAAGGAGGCAGAATGCCACAGACATGTAAATACACACATTTATCTGTGCCAGCCTGAGAACTTCCATGTCTGTGCCCCCCCCTTCGTCCGTCCACATGGAAGCCACCCCCGCAAGCTGGGGTCGGCTGCTGGGGAGCACGTCTGAGGCCCAGACATGCAGGCCGGGGCTTCCTTGAGGGCTCTGTGCTCTGGGGCAGGGCCTGAGGACATGCGAGTGAGGTGGGCGGCCGGCCTCGGGGGGAGTGACGCTGGCGGGCCGCCCGGCGGAGCAGAGTGCTTGGTGGCCGGAGAGCCGAGCAGGGCTGAGAGGAGCTGGCACAGCTGAGCAATGTGCCCCCGGCTGCTCCCGGGCCGTGCCCATCCAGATGCAGGGGAACCAGGCTCTGCCCGCTGCACACCTGTGGGGGCCTCGGGTGGGAGCATCTTACCTCCTCAAACTTGTAGGCAATCATGGCAAAGGCCTTGAAGATGGCGTCTGTTGGGCCCGTGATGGTCACGATTCTTTCTGGGCAGTTTCCCTCCGAGATGTTGATCCTTGCACAGCTCTGGAGGAAGTGGAGCAAACCCCAGACACTGGATCAGAGCGGCTTCTCCCCAGGCCCGCCACAACAACTGACAGGCACAGGGAGCGCAGTGCCTGGCAGGCAGCCCTCCAGAGCTCCAGTTTACAGAGGGAAGTTCCTGGCACCACTGCAGCCCACCAGTGGCGGCAGGGCGGGTGGACCCAGGGCCTCCCCAGCGGGGCCCATGGCAGCAGGGCAGCGACCTGGCCCCCATCTCCCACCCACCAGGAGCGGCCCCCCAAGGGCAGGCTCACTCACCTCCTCACGCATCTTTTTCACAGTCTCTCCTTTCTGTAATAAAGATTTGGACGACAGGCTGGGGTCACTCAGGGCTCCCGCTATGGCAGACAGAGGTCTGCCATGGCTGCAGGCAGTGCCGGAGCAGCAGTCCCAGGAAGGTCAGTCTGTGCCCGGCATTGTCCAGAGCCTCTACAGACCCGCTGAGCCCTGGCCACCCTGGCAGGTAGCCTTTCAGAGAAGCCAGGCGTTTGCCCAGGGCACTCACCTGCTAAGGGTGGGTGGGCCCAGCCATTTGCATCACTGGCAAAGGGGACCAGACCCGGGTGGGGACACCCTGAGACCCTTGTGAACAGAGCTGGACATGCACACTAGAGGAGGCGCCCCACTGTGCAGGGACCCTGCCTGGGTCAGTGCCTCCTGGAAGCAGGTGTGTACATGCTGTCTGCCTCCTGGGTCTCCCTCTGCTTTGTGGGTGGCTCTTCCCCTGTGGCACGCTCTGTGCCAGCAGGGTCTGCAGCAATGGGGCTGACACTGCTGCGGGTGACCAAGCATCCCCAGGGGTGGTCCTGACCCCCAGGGCTCGATACCATTGGGCTGGACAAGGTTCTATTACCTCCCTGATCTCCTTGATCTTGGAGCCGCCTTTGCCAATCAGGGACCCGCACTGGCTGGCAGGAACCACCAACCTCAGTGTCACTGGGGGCTTGCTGGTGGCAGGGCTGTTGCTCATGGAGTTAATGATGTCCTGGGAGGGAGGGAGACACGTGTCGGCCAGCCTGGTGTGCCGGTTCATGTCAGCGAGGGCAGACCGGAGGCTCAGAGGTGTCTGGAATGTGCTCGGGAGCCTGCGTGGTGGCAGCACCAGCTCCAGAGATCAGAAGCAAGGCCCCCACCTGGAGGCTGCACTCCATGGGGAAGGGCAGGGAGGATGGAGGCACACGGACTCCCAGACGGAGGTGCCATGGCACGGCGAGTGGCTGGCTGAGCAAGCCAGAGAAAGGTCGCAGCGTAGGGCGGGCTCGTTACAGAGGCTGAGGCCAGGTCAGGCTCAAGACAAGGAGAGGGCAGCTGGGCAGACAGAAGGGACTGCACTGGTGCCCACACGTGGGCCTGTACGCTGGGTCCAGGGCAATATGCCTGGACTCAGAGTCTGACCTCTCCTCTGTCCTTAAGGCTTGGTGGGGCACGGAGAGGTCTGAACTGACAGGTGCATCTCTAAGTAACATAACTGTTGGGAATTTCAAAAACACTGGAAACACATGAAAACCTTACGATTTAACTCACTGACAAAGGAGGCAGAATGCCACAGACATGTAAATACACACATTTATCTGTGCCAGCCTGAGAACTTCCATGTCTGTGCCCCCCCCTTCGTCCGTCCACATGGAAGCCACCCCCGCAAGCTGGGGTCGGCTGCTGGGGAGCACGTCTGAGGCCCAGACATGCAGGCCGGGGCTTCCTTGAGGGCTCTGTGCTCTGGGGCAGGGCCTGAGGACATGCGAGTGAGGTGGGCGGCCGGCCTCGGGGGGAGTGACGCTGGCGGGCCGCCCGGCGGAGCAGAGTGCTTGGTGGCCGGAGAGCCGAGCAGGGCTGAGAGGAGCTGGCACAGCTGAGCAATGTGCCCCCGGCTGCTCCCGGGCCGTGCCCATCCAGATGCAGGGGAACCAGGCTCTGCCCGCTGCACACCTGTGGGGGCCTCGGGTGGGAGCATCTTACCTCCTCAAACTTGTAGGCAATCATGGCAAAGGCCTTGAAGATGGCGTCTGTTGGGCCCGTGATGGTCACGATTCTTTCTGGGCAGTTTCCCTCCGAGATGTTGATCCTTGCACAGCTCTGGAGGAAGTGGAGCAAACCCCAGACACTGGATCAGAGCGGCTTCTCCCCAGGCCCGCCACAACAACTGACAGGCACAGGGAGCGCAGTGCCTGGCAGGCAGCCCTCCAGAGCTCCAGTTTACAGAGGGAAGTTCCTGGCACCACTGCAGCCCACCAGTGGCGGCAGGGCGGGTGGACCCAGGGCCTCCCCAGCGGGGCCCATGGCAGCAGGGCAGCGACCTGGCCCCCATCTCCCACCCACCAGGAGCGGCCCCCCAAGGGCAGGCTCACTCACCTCCTCACGCATCTTTTTCACAGTCTCTCCTTTCTGTAATAAAGATTTGGACGACAGGCTGGGGTCACTCAGGGCTCCCGCTATGGCAGACAGAGGTCTGCCATGGCTGCAGGCAGTGCCGGAGCAGCAGTCCCAGGAAGGTCAGTCTGTGCCCGGCATTGTCCAGAGCCTCTACAGACCCGCTGAGCCCTGGCCACCCTGGCAGGCAGCCTTTCAGAGAAGCCAGGCGTTTGCCCAGGGCACTCACCTGCTAAGGGTGGGTGGGCCCAGCCATTTGCATCACTGGCAAAGGGGACCAGACCCGGGTGGGGACACCCTGAGACCCTTGTGAACAGAGCTGGACATGCACACTAGAGGAGGCGCCCCACTGTGCAGGGACCCTGCCTGGGTCAGTGCCTCCTGGCTTTCACGTGGCCAGCGAACACGATGCTCTCGGGCCAACCTGAAGGAGACGCAGACTCACCCAGGAATCCTCACTGCACAGTGCACATCACCAGCAGGCACCCACCCAGGTCTGCTGCACTGCTTACAGAGACCCCGACAGAAGCAGAGTTCACTCAGTAATTACCTTCCCAATGATGCTTCCAACTTCCTGTAGGAAAAAAATCACAGAAAGATGAAGTCACAAGGCAGAAGGAGAAAAAAACCTGTGAGGCGCAGCATGACCCATCAATGTGAGGAGTGAGAAGGGGAGATTTAGGTGGTCAGGAGGGAGTGGGCAGTCGGGCCACTCGTGTGGAGGTCCTGAGGCCAGAGGGCTCCTCTGTGCCCGTGTAGCCCAGGTCCGGCCTCTGACAGACAGACAGGCAGTGGGACGGCCAGCTGCTTCTCAGATCAGGAAGTGGGGAAGCATCACCTATGAGCTTAAGGCCAGAAAACCCTACAAGAAACATGAAAAATAAAATCTCCCTCGATTTTTTGATATTAAGAAAATTTAGCAAGGCTATTGCTACTTGAGATTTTTAAAAAGAACATTCAAAGACATGGCTGAACATACCACCATGGCCCTAAGCCTGCAACACATGGCAGCCATGCGCTCCTGACCAGGCTTGCCTGCCATGCACCTCCTTGCCGGGCACAGAGCCACGTGACTCTACCCTGCCATATCCCAGAGGCAGAGCCAGCCTGCTTCCAGCTGCAGAGAATGGCAATGTTCAAAATCAAGTGCATTCTCCTTGCTGCAAAAAAGTCCTCAGCAATTACCACGTTCCTGGAGAAGATCTAAACTCTGCCACCACTGGAAGGGTGTGTGAGGCAGGCCCTGTGGCAGCAAAGGGCAGCTGGGTAGTGACCCCTGTGGTGGTGAGGGTACCTCACCTCCCACAGGCAGTGCCTGGTGCGTGTTGTGGCTGCTGGGGGCGGGGCTGTATTGCTGGGCTCGCGCCCTCTGGGGTGCCCACCAGCTCCCCGCACCCCTGATCAAACACTACCCACAGCTGGGTCATATCTCTCCATCACCAGAAGGGGTGCGCTGGGTGTGAGCTCTGCCCCAGCCCTGCCCATAAAGGCATCTCTCCTGGGAATCTGGGAGGAGCAGCAGCACAGACACCAGGGCCAGAGCCCTGCCAGCCGCCGCATGAGGCCGCACACACGGTGGGGGCAGGTTTCTCAGGGCAAAAACAGGATGGACAGGAGCGAGCACACACCCAGGGCTGATGGACTGGAACTGAGGTGAACTCCAGGTCCTCAGCTGCAGTGATACACATGGAAACAAACACTGTGCGAGTGTACATCTGCGTACATGTGTGACTGCACATACATACACACGCATACACATAAACATATATATACAGATGTCCCTCAGCTCCACCCGGGACTCACAAGAGCCCAAGGGTATGAGCAACCCACATGTCCTAATTGGGCCTTCTAACACGATCCTCTACATTAAGAAGTCAGGATCTTGGGAGAAATGGCTGGTTCCAGAGTCCATAGCCCCAGGAGGGGGTGGTTCAGTCTGATAAGTATCCCCAGGAATGGCTTTCTACCAGCAGCTCTAATGGGGAAGCTTGGCAGGTGCCCCCCTAGTGATGTGATCAGTAATGGGCCACTCTGAAATCAGGGCCACCTGATAGGAAAGCATCTGTGACTTTCCTGCCAACAGCGAGGAACACCAAAAACTCCAGGGCAGGGGACATTCCACAGGGGAACCAACAGGGACTTTCTAACGCAAAAGGTAGAGACCAGGGAAACTGCTCCAGGAGGGAGACGAGAGGGTGACTGGGACAGGGATGTGTGGCTGTAGCATCTGTAGTGAAGGTAGTGCTGGGATGACTTGAGCATGAACGGGTCAAAGGCCAAGTGGCCCCTGATCAGATATGCCCACTGTGACTGTGGGGGAGGAGGCCCCTGTTTGAGGGGTACACACTAAGCTGTTCACAACAGGGCACCCATGGCTCTGGCACTCCCCTTCCAAGGAGAGGGGCAAAGGCAGCTGCCTATGCTTCTGTACCTTCCCGTGCATCAGCAGGCGGATGGTCAGGGTCACGTTCAGGCCGCCTTCTGAGACCTTGGATTCCATCTTTCTCTCAAAATGTGGCTGGGGATGGTGGCTGAAGGTGCCAAGGGTGCTGAGAGGAACAATAGATGGGGCCCAGATGGTGTCACCTGCAAAGACAGGGTACAGCTGCTGCCAACCACCTGCACAGGCAGGAGCATCCTGGCCTGCAAGGCCCCGAGGCCTGGGGACAGGGGAGTGGGCAGTGGAGGCTCTGGGAGCAGCCCGATCAGCAAGAGGAAGGGGCGGCCCTGGGCCTGCCAGCTCCAGGTAGACGCAGTAGGCTGGGCCTTGGGAAAAGCAGGCCAGGGACTGGTCCTGGACCCACAGCTGGCTAACCGTGACCTGTGCAGGTCACCGGAGCCCTCTGGCCCCAGTTCCTGCCTCAGCTGGAGAGGGAAAGGGGTCGCCGAGTGTGCCCAGGTCCCATGAAGGCAGGGTCTGCTCTGCCCTTACCTTCGTTCCGTTCGCTGCTTCCCATAATGGAGCTGGAATCCCCACACTCCCACTGCGACTCCCTCCACCCCTCAAGAACTAGAGAATCACAGTACTGGTGTTCCCTTTACGTTTGCAGTCAAGTCACCTTGGTGATCCTAACTTCTAAAGTAGACTCTGTTAATGAAATTGCAAAGAGCTGGGTGACCCTCTTTATAAAGTTTTCAGAAACGCTTTATACACCTGCGTCACTGCTGTGAAATAAAAATGAAGTTTTATGGCCCCCACGGTGGTCCCTCGGGAAGAGAGTTATGTAAGCTGCACAGGCCCTAAGCCAGCCAGACCGCTCGTGCTGTGCTGCGAACGTGCCACACAGCCATGCTCGCCTGTGCCAGCAAGCTGGACGCAGCCCGTTACACACAACGGAGGAGAGAAAACCAGCCTTGAATGACCAAAGAAAACAAATCTTACAGGTTTTTGGGAGCACAATAATTTTTTCCTCATCAAAATGTTTTTGCAGAAAAATAAGCTAAAAGGAAATCACAAAAATAAAGCACAGAAAGTGCACTCCAATTGCCTGGGTGATGGGCGTAAGGAGGCGCTTGCACAGGGCAGCACTGGAGGCCCCAGGCCAAGAACGCATTCTGCAGGAGGAGCACCAGGCCGGACTACACTCGCGGTCTTAACATTACATAATTTTCCACAGGTTTCGACAAATTCACACTGTCAGTTCTAATTATTCAGAATAAAATGACACTTTTGAATAACAAGGATTTTAACATGAAAGGTGTAATGTGTATCAAAGAGACTTAAAATTCATCCTTACATATTAATGTTCTCTATCTTCACTGTCCAATGTCATAGCCATTAGCCACTGTGGCTGTTTATTGACATAAAATTTCAGTGACACCTTTCATTGTTGAATAAGCTGCGTCACTGGCTGGAGGGCACCAAGAATGCAGCTGTCCCCACAGCATCGTGCTGGACGGGGCAGTGTGTGTGGGTGTCTGCAGGTCCGCCTGTAGGCAGGGCTCTCAGGAGCAAAGGCCCCAGATGGAGAGGGGCCCATGGGCTCAGAAAGTTGGTGCGGTGCCCCGTAAACACGATCCTCCCTGTGTAGACGCCCTGCAGTAAGCCAAGTTAGAATGCTGATGAACCGGCTCCCACAGGGCCAAGCTGGGGTGCCATGCCTCAGTTTTAATTAGAAACATCTCCTGTGTTGGGGACAGCAGGGCCCTGCAGCCCTGTGTTATGTGTTTCCAGCCACGGTGGAGAAAGTGGGTCAGCGAGTGCCAGGGGTGCGTCAGGCTCCAGGCTGCCGACTGCCATCAGTCACACGGGCCAGTGAGCAGCGGCAGGGGCCAGCGCCTTCCCTCATCACGTGGCCAGGAGCAAGCGTCTCGGTGTCCTCTGTAGGCCGATGGGAACAAGAAGCTGTCCTGGGCACCTGGGGCTCAGTAACCTTGACCCTTAAGAGCCCATCCTGGCCCTGCCTGTGAGAGGCACAGGGCGCTGGCTCCTCCAGGACCGCGGACTCCTCATCAGGCCTGGGGCTGTCCTGTGCATGTCCTGCCAGGCCCTGGGACACCCGCTCCCCCGAGGTAACCCCAGGACTGCCCAGGCCTTGTTCCCACATCAGGGCCGCCGCTGCAGTAGACTCTACAGGGAAGCTTGAGGGCTGTTCAGAGGAAGCAGCAGCTGGGCTCCTGTGTTCACAGCCACCCAGAACCAAGTGAGATGAGCAATTCAACAGAAAAAAACCTGCTTTCTGTGACTCACTCCTCCCCCACACTAGGTGCTGGAGAAATGGGAAGCTCTCTCTCACCAGTGAGTGCCGCTCATCCTTTACCCTGTAGTGCTGGGGATTGAACAGATTTTAAATTCATCTAATGGAAAGGAAAGGAGAAATCGTCACAGTCCCCTATAGCGCCTGGGAGGGCCTCCGCTCCTCTCCATCTGCACTGGCGTGGGCCGTCCAGTGTGTGGTTTAAATGCCCCTTTGTGCCCATGCCATCCACAGATGTGCCTCAGCAGAGCATGCCCTGCACTGGCCCTCACAGACACCCACCACCCCTGTGCGCAACGAGGGGCTCCTGCCCAGCCTGCCATCCCCGTCTCCCCTCTGCAGTCTCCTCTGTCAGCAGGCCGGCCAAGCCAGCTGCTCAGACCTCAGGGGCACTCACTCCCGCCTGCCCCCCTCCTGTTCATGAGCATTCCGTCCCGGCACGTGGCTGCAGGCCTTAATGTTTGTCTTCTTCTAGCTTTGTGAGGGAGAAGCTTGTGGCATTAATGTGATACTGTATTCTTGCCTAATATTGGTGTTTAGTTCTATAAATTTCTATTATGTGGCTTTAGCTGCATCCCACAAATTTTTTTGATATTTGTGTTTTCCACTTATTTCAAAATACTTTCAAGCTTTCCTTCTGATTTTTTTTTATGAGATATTTAAAAATGTTACTGAGTTTTCAAATATGTAGAGATTTTCTAGATATCTGTCTTGTGTTGTTCCCTGATTTCATTATGGTTAGAGACTATGTTTTGTAATACTTGAGATATTTTAGACTTATGAGACTTGCTTATGGGCCAGGATATGGTCTTCTTGGTAAATGTGCATTCCTGTGTTCTGGGTGGAATGTTCTACAAATATCAATGAGAGCAAGTTATTGGTAATACTGTTCAGGTCTTCTGGTTTTGTATTTATTATGTCACATGGTGAGAGGGACGCTGACATCCAGCTGTGGATTGGGCTGTGTCCCCCACTGTTGCGTCATTCCATCCCAGGACTTCTAAGCCCCGTTAGCATCATCACACTGAGCACGTGGTGTTGCACTGATGAACTGACTCCCTTGTCATTATAAGGGGTCAGGGCTCTGAGATGTACCTGTGTTATTACTGCCCTATTTTCTCTGGATTGGAGTTAGCACGTTGTATCTTCTTTCGCCTTTTATCTTTGACTTTATATTTAAAGTGGGTTTCTGGGAGGCAGCATACATTGGGCCTTGCTTTTTATCTCACCTGACTACCTCTGCGTTCTCACTGGGGTGCTGCTATTCAGGGGATCGCTGGTAGAGTTAGGTGTATCTGCCCATCCACTCTTATTCTCAACCTCACCATCTGCTTTGTTCCCGTTTCTATTGTTCCTTCTCTGCCACCTTTTGGAATGATTCCACAGTTTTATGATTCCCTTTATCTCCTTTGTTCACTTACTAGTCATAACCTTTTGCTTTGTTAGGTTTGCAGTTGCTGTACAGTCTATAATACACATCTTCACCTGTCACAGCACAGTGTCACGTGAGCTCGTGCCACCTCACACCTCACACAGAGTGACCCTCGGCAGCATGCTCCATGTCCCTGCTCGGCCTTGCACGATTGCTGTCATACATTTGTTTTTACCATTTGATACACCCTACCGCACATTATTTTTAATTTAGACAGCTAAATCCCTTTTAAAGGGATTTAGATAATAAGGAAAAATGTATTTGATGCTGACCCCCCCCAGTGTGACACAGCCAGTCCTGGGGAGGCATAGGAGACGGGTGTCGAAGACCTGGGTCAGAGCCCATGGTGGCCGCTCTCTCTCCTCCTTCCTCCAGAACATGAACACAAGAAGCAGATCAAAATTATTCTCATAGGTAGTTGTGTACTTTGTTAATTCAACAAATATGTTTAATGGTTGAAGCAAAAATTATAGTACTATCTGATGTGATTGTAATAGCACCCTGAAGAAGTATTTAAACAATTATAAATGGGGAGGATAAAGAATCATAAAGGAAGTTAAAGTTTCTATATTTCTCTCAAGCTGGCAAAATGTCAACACGTGGGTAGAATTCATGTGTAGTGTCTAGGGCAACCACTAAACAGCTACACAAAGTGATATACTCAAAAACACTGTTAATATATCAAAACAGAATTCTAAAAAAACTTTAGTAATTGACAGGAAGGCAGGAAATAGTAGAGAAACAAAAAACAGAGAACAACAGAAAACAAAAAGTGAAATGGCAAACTTGAGTCCTAATATATTGTTTAAATTCATTGATTAAAAAACAAAAATTGGCAGAGTGGATTAAGAAACATGACTCAACCGTGTGTTGTCTATTACAAAAAAAACCACTTCAAACAGAATGATATACACAGGCTGAAAATTAACTCATGGAAAAATATTTGTTATACAACCATTAATCAAAAGAAAGCAGGAATGGCTATATAAATATCAGATAATAACAAGTGTTAGTGAGGATGTGGAGCAAAGAGAACCCCTGAGCACTGTTCATGGGAATGTAAATTGGTGCAGCCACTGCAGAAAACAGAATTGAGATGCCTCAAAATATTAAAAATAGAACTACCATACAATCCAGCAATTCCACTTTTGGTTATTTATCTGAAGAAGATGAAAATACCAATTCAAAGAAATATATGTACTCCCGTATTCACTGCAACGTTACTTACAATAGCCAACATATGGAAGCAACTTAAGTGTCCACAGAGAGATGAACAAATAAAGATGTGTTGTACATACACCCAAAAGAATATTACTGAGCCACAGAAAGGGGAAACCTTGCCATTTGTGACAACACTGATAAACCTAGAGGGCATTATGCTAAGTGAAATAAGTCAGAAAAACACAAATACTGTATGATTTCACTTACAAGTAGAATCTAAAAAATAAAACAAATGA